TGCTCCCGGCCACCGCAGCCTCGACCTGCTGGGCTCAGGTGATCCTTCCGCCTCAGCCTTCCAGGTAGCTGGAACTACAGGCGTGCACTACCACGCCGGCTAATTTTTGATTTATTGTAGAGATGAGGTCTCGCCAAGTTGCCCAGGCGGGTCTTGAACCCGCGGGCTCAGGCAGTCCACTCACCTCAGCCTCCCAAGGCGCGGGATTACAGTTGTTTACTTTTTGTAGAGATAGGGTCTCCCTCTGTTACCCAGGCTGGTCTCGAACTCCTGGTCTCAAGTGATCCTTCCTCCTTGGCCTCTCAAAATGCTGGATTACAGGCATGAGCCACCGTGCTCGGCCATGTTTATTTCCTGACCCTTAGTTCTTGGCCGCACTGTTTCTTCTAGCTGGCAATGATGACTGGCGATCTGTTTTCATGATCTTTTGTTTATCTCTCCCAGGATGATGGAGGTCTGTTCTCTATCCAGTGAAAGATGACAGAAAGTCTGATTTGTTAGGTGGTTGTTATTTCATCTGCTTGTGAGATCAGGTCAATTAAGGAAACATTGAAAAGTGAACAGACCACTGGGATATGGACCGTGAGTATGTGTTTCTTGATTTACTTTGACACGTGGATGAAGCTGTGGAATTGGAGCTGCAAGTTCTTGGTGTGTTTATGAGGTTGAAAAGTTTTTCTACCTTTGCAGTATATAAGTTATCATGTTTTTTAAGTTGTTTTTTTTTTTTTGAGTTAGAATCTCACTCTTGTCACTGGCCAATCTTTTAAGTTTTTAGGAGATCTATTTTGATTGAGATAAAGAAACAGGCCAGGTGTGGTGGCTCACGCCTGTAATACTAGCACTTTGGGAGGCAGAGGTGAGAGGACTGCCTGAGCCCAGAGGTTTGAGACTAGCCTGGGCAACTTGACGAGACCTCGTGTCTACAATAAATAAAAAAATTAGCTAGGCATGATGGCACACACTGTGCAAGAGAGAGAGAGAGACAAAAAGGGGGAAACCTGCCGTGTGTGGCATGGTGGTGCACACTTGCAGTCCCATCTATTTGGGAGGCTGAGGCAGGATTGCTTGGGTCCAGGAGTTCAAAGTCAGCCTGGCCTGTCTGTAAAATAAAAATAAATAGATGTAACAATGTGAGTCACCTGAGGTCATACATTTTCCAGATGAAACTATTGTTCTTATAAAAATCAGTGTTAAGCTGGGCTCGGTGGCTCAGCCTGTAATCCCGCGCCTTTGGGAGGCTGAGGTGAGTGGATTGCCTGAGCCCGCGGGTTCGAGACCCGCCTGGGCAGCGAGACCTCATCTCTGCAATAAATCAAAAAATTAGCTGGGCGTGGTAGTGCGCGCCTGTAGTTCCAGCTACATGGAAGGCTGAGGCGGAAGGATCGCCGGAGCCCAGCAGGTCGAGGCTGCGGTGGCTGGGAGCGGCCACTGCACTCCAGTCTGGGCGACAGAGTGAGACTTCAACTCAAAAAAGATAAAAATAAAAATAAAAATCAGTGTTAAAAACTCCGGCACACATTGCCTTGCTAAGCTATGCTGTGGCCCTGTGCTCTTTGAGCTATGACCAGGCCATGTTTTCTTAAGCTTTGGCCCCTTCCCCTACCTTGGGGAGGTGAAGCTCCTCTTT